TTCTAAAATACTAAGGGATTTTTCCTATTTACTGCATTTATTACTTAATGATTCTCTCCTCCAAGAAGATATAAGTTTCATGAGAAAGATATTATATCTATTCTAAGTACCATGCTTGGGACATGGTTGTTATTGATGTGAAGTGCTGTCGAGTTGGTTCCAACCCATAGCGACCCTGTATAGGGTTTCCGAGGAACAGATGGTGAGCTTGAATTGATGACCTTGCAGTTCAAATGGCTTTGCAGTCTGGTGCATTAACCCACAGCACCACACCAGGACTCACTCACTCACACACTCTCACACTCTGACACACATTCTCTCTATATATCTATCTATATGTGTGTGTGTGTGCGCGTGTGTGTATATATGTATATACATATATACACACGTGCACACACACACACTGGTAAGTGTTAATACAGATACACATACATTCGTATGTTTATGCATACACATTGTTGTTGTTACATGCCACTGACTCAACTCTGACTCACAGCAACACATACACTATTAATTTGTTAGCAAAGGAGATGGGAATAAGAAATAAACCATGAAGGAATGAAGGGGCATGGAGCTGAAGGTCATTAGTAGCTTTCCATATTAACCATTAAAGTCTGAAATAAAAATGAAGTTACTCATTCCCCAAAGGATAATTACGGTAGTGTGTCTCTTTTACACAATATTTAATTGCTGGTAAGTCAGAAGTTGTTTTTTTTTTTCATAATAAAGGACTTTACAACTGATCTAGTATCACATTAGATCTTACCAATAGGAAGTGAACCACATCTCCTCTGCAGAAGGCAAGAATGGGATTCACATAGTTATGCACTGCCACAAAGTGCCAGGCCAGCAACGGAACACTAGAAGGATCCAGCTAAGTGAGGAGGCAAAAACAAACAAAAAATATATCACAGTCAACAGAGCTAAGGACAAAAAACAAAAGTCTAGTTAAAAACAGACTCTAACTAGTGTTCCTTGACACAGCATCTTTCGATTTCTCATTAAGATTCCATGGACATAGACTGACCCGTGGTTTCATCAGAAGGAACTTTCTATGTTGATGCCAATGTTCTCTATCTTGGTAGAGGTTTAAGTTACACAAATCATATGCACTTGTCAATTTCAGCAAATGTACACTCAAGATTTGTATACTGCATTGTACATAAATTTAACACCAAAAGCAAAACCTAAAATATTGAATTCTAGCTAGTGATAGGCATGCTGAATATTCAGAGGAAAGAATGGTGATCCCAGCAATTAATTCTGAAATGCATCAAAAAATAAAATAGTTTGTTGGGTGGATAGAGATGGGTACATTACTACACACCCACACCTCACTTATTAACATGATTAGTTTCCAAAGACTAGGTTGCTACGTGAATGTTGGCATTATGTGAAAATGGAGGGCGAGATCTTACACACCCAGCATCACTGAAGGCTCTAAGTTCAGTTTGGCTCATTTTGAGATGTCCTTAAACTCACATACAATTCTTCCAAACACCTTCTCTGATGCTTCTTTCTAGCCTCCTTTCCCACTCAACAGCTATTTTGAGCTTTGGGGCTTCACAGGTTGCACAGGAGCTAGGAACACAGAACAGGCATCCTCTGGCTGGGTACTGTGTTTCTGCCCAGAGGCTGTGGCCATGGAGAAGGTTAGCTCCTCAAGGCAACTGGAGAGGCAACCCCACCAGCACTAAGGAGCAGAGGACATGGGGCAGCACGGCCCAGCTTCCTGAAGGCTCTAGGGAGAGAAGGCACCACAGCTATGGCCACTATGCCCACTGCCCCTTTAAAGCACAAAATAGTTGGTAGAATTTTTACTATTGTCTCAAAAGTGAAATGCCAGATAACGAGATAGTCATTAAGTGAGGAGTAGGTGCTTGTGTATTAAACAAAATACGGTACAGTGTTAATGGTAGAATTTAGACAGTGGATAAAAATATTCAATGAAATTCAACTTTGCTTTTTGTTTGAAAATGTTCATAAGAAAACACTGGAAAATACACAACAAAAACATACTAAGGTGCAAGCAAATGCTACCATGATAAACCTCAAGTAGTTAATGAAGCTGACCCAAGAAATGTTATTGGCAATCTAAGCCATGTTGCCATCTGCAACATCAGGCCCACTTTTCCTAGAGCTCAAAGAACACAAAAGCAGAGTGATCTCCTCTGTGTGGATTGTTCTCTGAACTTGGCTGAGTTCTGTACCTCATCATTCTCCACCTCTATCCCATCAGTACCTCTGTATGCAATGGAACAACAAGCAAGCATAAAAAAAGGGGGAAACTCGGCTGTACATGACACATCTTGGGAAGTATCAGGTTCCAATATAAAGGGATCAGAGTAGCAATGAATGCTGGTATTAGAGCATGGATTCTGTCAGTAGTTAGTGTCAACACAGCAAACAGTGAGTACAATCCTACTTCAGTGCAGCAGCCACACAAAACAAATATCTTCCAAACACTGGAAACTGGGGCTAGCAATCAATGTATCCACTTATCCTCCAACTTTACATCTGATAAGAGATTTCACTGCACTCAAATGGGCAATAAATGAGGATAGGACAATCCATGCATGAAATTAGGTATGATCACACAGCACCAGAACAGCAATACACAGAGACAATCAAACCGAGGTCAAAAACAAAAGCCAGTTCTCTATGGTGTTTACAAGAGGAAAACTTCAAGTGATAAAGTACAACCCTCATAATCCCTAGGGCCTGACTCTCATCACCAGTTTATGCTTCCTTGTTCACTTCAGGTTAAGTCCAGACAACGATATCTGAAGACTGACAATTCTACCTTGTTTTCTGACATTCACTAATTTTCGATCAATCACTGAACTTGCCACTTAAAGTCATTTTGCCAAGTTCTTCCTTCCCCTCCCTTTTACCAATAAGACAAGCTTACTCACCCGTCCATATGGAAAAGTCATCCACACTTTCAAGGACGGTTTCAATCCAATGACCAGGATCTACAGGAGAATACATTATATAACCCCGTCAGTTGCAAATTTTTGGTATTCAATGTCTCCTAAAAGCTATGAGCTTCATCCTCTAAATACACCTGCCTTTGTTAGGGATGCCATGGCCAATAATGAAAACTGGGTGATGGGGTGATCTTTCAACTCCGGCTTAGAATGCAGAGGCTCGATACAGCAAACTTCACCTTTAGAACCACTGAACAGGCATCTGGATTCACATGTTCTCACTCCCATCACTCTCCTGAAAGTATAACCAAAATCATTTCAGGATCAATTGAGCAATGATCCAAAGTATTATCATCCCTAGATTAGAATACTATAATATAATCTCATAACTCCTATTCTTGTCCCCAACAATCCAAACTCCACATGACAGTAGCATGACCCTTAGAATATGTAAGATGTATATCACTCTTCTACTAAAAACATTCCAATGACTTGCCATTGTGTGTAGCATTACATCGAGATTCCACCATGCATTTAAAGGTCCATATGCTCTGACACCTGCCTTCCTTCTCTCCTACTACCACTGTTCCAGACAAAATTCTGCCCTTGCCACACTTGCCTCCTTTCTGCCAGGTCAGGAGGTCAGGTTTATGCCCAATTCAAAGCTTTAGTGCTTGGATGTCTCCCTGCCTGTAAACTCCACCCACCAGATCTTTGACTTGCTCATCATTCATATCTTTGATCAAATGACACCTCCTAAGAGAGCCTTCCTGAACTATGCTTAAGTGCACTCTAGCATAATGACCAGTTTACAGCACTCATAACTATCTCAAGTTATTTCATTCGTGTGATTTATTATTGATTGTCTCCACACCCTCAACCCAAACAGAATGTAAGTTCTATTAGAGTGGGAACCTTGTCTGTCTGGTTCACAGACTTTAATGTCTAGAAAATGTCTGCATACAGATGTTCAATGAATATTAACTGAATAAAAGAACAGACTTTCAAGCAACACTTTGTGTTCAGCAGCATTAGAAGCTATGACAAATACAAGAAACAAAGATATTCCTTATACTTGAAGATATTCCACATCAAATTTTATCTTCTACATTTTAAAAACAAACTCTTGTATCTAGACACTCTTTGCTCTCATTTAAAAAGTCATAGGATAATCTCAAGGGAATAAAATCCTTTTCACACTTGATTGTTATGGTTAGAATCAACTGAACCTGTGATCTGAACCAAAATTAGTGAGCTACTATGGAATAGTGGTTCCCAAACCTAGCAACTCATCAAAATTCCCTAAAAGGAGGACTCCACAATCTCCACTGAAACCCATTAAGACAATTTCTGGGGGCCAAAACTGGAACACTACATGTTCTATGAGTCTCTCCAAATAACTGTGATATCCAACCATAATAAATAACATGACTTTTCCAGATCTCTTCATGTTCAATTTCAAATCATTAAGCCAAAGTTAGTCTTTCCATTTTTCAGCAAATGTCTATTAAGTCTCTTACTTAAATGTCAGTTCAAACACAGAGCCTCCGCTGTCGTTGCAAATTGCAAGTGTTGGGTCATCTGTAAACTAAGCACAGAAGAAATTTATTTTGTCAATTTTCAAATAACGAGACAAACGTTAGAAGGTAAGGAAAAATTGTAAAGATTTTTTAAATTTTACAAAGTCCACATTTAATAGCATTTGAAATAACCTCAACTCTACTCAGCTCATCACTTTAAACATACAAACTTACCCTTAACAGAAAAAATTGAGACTGTCAAAAAGCCAAACTACCTTTCATCAAAATGAAAAACAAAAAAACAAGTCCTAATGTTCTCTCACATTAACTTTCCAACTTGCTATTAAACTGAATAGGGCATATTAACTTCAGATACTTGTATTTCCAGTTGCCTAGTTATTGTTAGGAGTCCTGGTGTAGCACTGTGGTTAATGCACTGGACTGCAAAGTCAGTTTGAACTGCAAAGTCAGCAGTTCAAGCTTACCAGCCGCTCTTTGGAAAACCTATACAGAGTCACTATGAGTTGGAACCAACTCAACAGCACTTAGCAAGAACAACAACAACAAAGTTTTTGTTAATGTTTTTTAACTTTTTATTATGTACTGAATGAAGGCTTATAGAGCCATACAGTTGCTTCATTTTTTAAAAAGCAACTCAGTCAGAGCTGGCTCAATAACACTTAACAACAACCACCACCACCATCTTTGGTTAGCAGTTGAGTGATTAACCAGTACTCCACTGAGAGCTACTTACTAGCCACATGTTGTTTTTGCTAAGTGCTGTGGGGTTGGTTTGACTCATGGAGAGCCTATATGAGATTTCCAGGGAAAGGCTGGTTGGGTTTAAATACTGACCCTGTTTGAAATCCACTACTTATCCTGCAAAGCCACACCAGGACTCCACACTAGCTATATTATTGTTGTTGTTAACTTCCTTTGAGTCAATGCCGACTCATAGCAACCCCATACAGGGTTTCCAAGGAGCATCACATGGGTTTGAATCAAAACCTGTGGTTTCAAGTCCAGTACTGATCCTACAGCACCACACCAGGAGTCCAATACATACTGATTTGCTAACCTTCACTGTTCAAGTGGTTCGAAAATGTAGTTATCTTTTTAAAATTTATGACGTACAAAGAAAAAGTTGAGCTGCAGTTTAAAAAAAAAAAAAAAAAAGGAACACATATGTGCAGTGGTGAAGCACTTGGCTATTAGCTGAAAGGTCAGCAGTTCAAACCCACCCAGCTACTCTGCAAGAGAAAGACTTGGCAATCTGCTCCAGTAAAGATGACAGCCTAGAAAAACTTTCAGAACAGTTCTGCTCTGTCCTATAGAATCACTATAAATAGGAATTGACTTAACAGCACACAACAACAGGGTTGAAGAATAAAACCACAGTGGTTCTGTAGGATAAGCACTGGACTGCAAACCACAGGCTGGTGGTTCAAGCCCACCAGTGACTCCATGGGAAAAAGATGAAGGTTTCTGCTCCCACTAAGATTTACAGTCTCTGAAAACCTAGATAGGGTCCATATGAGTCGGAACTGATTCAACAGCACTTCATAACAACAAACATATTTAGTATTTTATGGAAAATAAATTTACCTAAATATGTTTTCTGAATAAATTAGTGGAATTAATTTTTTTTTAAATTCTACTCATTTATTTAAAATTTTACCTAGTTCACAATAAACAGTTAAAAAAACAGTAACAACACCTTGTTGCTATTGTTGTTAGGTACCGTCAAGTCCGTTCCAACTCATAGCGACTCTAAATAGGGCTTCCAAGGAGCAGCTGTGTTCCAAACTGACCTTGCGGTTCAGTGCTTTGTCCCACAGCACCACACCAACAACTAGGCAACTGGAAATTCAAGTATCTGAAGTTAATAGCAAGTAAAAACTTAATGTGAGAGAACTTTACAACTTACATGAATCATTAAGTTTTTGTTTTCATTTTCCATCTTGATGAAAGGTAGTTTGGTTTTTTGAAAGTCTCAGTTTTTTCTACTAAGGATGAATTTGTATGTTTACAGCAATGAGCTGAACAGAGTACACATTACTTCAAATTTTAGGAGATTTTAAATTTAAGAAATTAAACTAATTTAGCTCTTTATACCGTTAGCTACTGTGAGTTGGCTCCAACTCATGGTGGTCTTCTATTATCACTGAACGAAATGACGCCTGGATCAGCACCATCCTCATAACTGGTGGTATGTCTGAGTCCTTGTTGTAGCCACTGTGTGCCTTCCAACCTCAGGGGCTTATTTTCCAGCACTACAGGATAAGCACTGCACTGAGAACCACAAGGTCAACGATTCAAACCCACCAGCTGCTCCTCAGAAACCCTATATAGGGATGCTGTGAGTCGGAATTGACTTGACAGCATTTAACAACAGCATTAAACAATAATCTGTTGTGATCCATAAGGTTTACAGTGGCTAAAACCTGGCAGCAGGTTGCCAGGCCTTTCTTCCTATTCTTAGTCTGGAAGTTCCTCTGCAACATGGGTCCCATGGGTGAGCCTGCTGGTATTTTAAATACCAGTAGCACAGTTTTCAGCATCATAGCAACACACAAGCCACCATGGGATGAGAAATTTGAGAGATGGGTAGTGTACTTTTAATATAACTCTCCCAAAAATGCATTGCCTCCTTGATCTTATAAGAGCATGCTGTTTTAGCAGTGTGCCAACAAGTTGGTTCCAAACTCCCTGTATGGTGTTTCCAAGATTTAACCAGTGGGTTTGAACTGAGAACCTTGCGGTTAGAGATCCAGTGCTTATCCTATACATTATCCTACCAGGACTTCTTAAGAGTATACTTCAGTTATTGTAGCTTAATCTGGAAGACTCCAAATAATAAACAATATCCACGATCGCAGACAGTCGTTAAGGTCATGAAGAATGGTAAATGTGAATGTTGCAGGATATAAAATTGCTTCACTTAAATTCTTACTAAAACATCATTCACAGTGATTAGCCTTCCTAACCCCAAATGTTGGTGAAACATCGTATACAGCATGTCTTTATGCTTTTAATCAGGAATGGTTGAGAGACAAGAGGTCTCCTCTGCCCCACAGACAGGCATTGCAAAGAACTCCAACACTTTACTCTTGAAGCCTAGATGAGCAGTTGCAAAATGGGAAGCATGCTTCCTCAAGGCACATCAAGCGGTCCATAGGAATGTAAGAGACATTACAGAATTTGTATTTCTACTCATTAATTTTTCATTTATTTCGTATGCACTTTATAATGTACTTAAACACTGATATAAGAGTATATGTAGAGTAATAAATGTATAGTTGATTCTCAGTACTCATAGTAGTGATGTTCTGTAAAGTTCCCATGAACACTACATTAATAACTTCTGAACCAGCCTCAGCAGGGAATTTTTTTTAACCATTCTGCTCATATGCATATCTGCAAATGACCACAAAAGCACAGTGAGTATGAGAGGAATTTAAAAAATCATGGAAAGAAAGGAACTAGAAGATCATGGCATTTTTCCATTAACTTTTTGAAGTCCCTTCGTATTTTTATTCAGTTGGCAAATCTGTGAATGTGGAATTCATAAATGGCGAATGGAATGAGCACATAATAAAGATGAAACCCAAATTTAAACTGACAGGATGTGGTGTTAAAAGTCTTGAGGACATAAAGGAATTTGTTAAAGAAAACAAGTGTAAACTGCTCCAATATGATAAACTTGACCTGTACTTATGGATGTAGTAGCTCAAAATACCAACTGAGAGGGAAGGAATCTTTACATCAAGGATCAAGCCTATCCCCTCTGTACACAGGGTTGATAGGGATGGGCAACTTAGATATTAACTACCTAAAGTGGTGGGGGTCTATAAATGCATGAAGTGGCTAGCTTACAAATTTTCAAGAGGGAGTTTAGTTTCAGAGAGTGTGGAGGAAGGTAGAATCCCTAATGAATAGTTTTCATCTTATGTAGACGGGTCTGGTGAAAGGAGATGGGGATAAGATTCTTAAGATTCAATAATGAGTAACTGTTATCATGACTAACTGCGACTGTAACTATAAAGGTAGAAAATCTGTAACAAAAAGGGAGAGTAGTTAACCTTACATTCTAGGAACAGAGGACCCTAGGAACATCAAGGGAGAAGAGCATGAGCAGATGTGGGACCCTATCCAGAGAAGCAGTGA